TCCAATGCACATACTTAGAATAACTGCTTATTTCCTTCATTCTCCAAATTGAAGGGAGCTTTTTTTTTTCCTCTGGTACACTCTGTTATTTGCGTAGTACTCTAAGAAAATCAGGAGAAAGGAAGTGGAGTGTTGTACATTCTATTTCTATGAGTTTGCGTTGTTGTCAAAATCTTAAAAGGACTCTATAGTCCGATTAATTTCCATTAAGTGATCTGGGTGCCAGCCCTACCCTCACCCCCCCCGCCCCCCTCCCATTTCTGTGCTGCCACTGAAAATATTGCTGTTCTGCAGGGTTAACCTGCCTGTAGTTAACTATTTCAATCGGGTGATCTCAGAGAGAGATAATTGGTGCAGCATGGCATTTTGCTGCGCACGTGCACTATCCTCCCAATATGGCTTTCCTATGAGATCATTAATCCTAAAAATCTCAGGCACCAGAGACCAGCGATGTGAAGGAACAAATGGTAAGTAAAATCACCTTTTTAACCCTGTCACCTATCAAACAGTGACTACGGCACTCTAGTATTAGGAATAATCATTTGCTTTCCTAATGCTGCAGTGTTTCTTTAACGAAGATTGCGAATGCTCATCAAGACTTGCACCAGGTCTTCAAGAGATTGTTGTTTTTTGTAAGAGGATCTGGCCTAGAGGATTGCTGGTAATGCCTAAAAGAGGAGCCTAATGGGGATTACTAACACACAACAATTAAGCCCTGCGCTCAAGCTCCCACTACTCCGGGGCAGCAATGGTTACAGTATTCATCAGCCAAAATACATAGAACAATGGCAAAAAAATAATAATAATTAAATATCATTTGCGCACTATCCCAAATTCCTGTACACATTTAAATAACAGGAGGTTTTTAGTATCAGTCCGATGGTCATTAAAGTGCAAACTCATCTGCTGCATCAAGGCATATTTCCTAATGTAAAAATTCAAAGTGTTTTCAAAGAGAGTTATAAATGTAAGGCCAGAGTAGCCAAACTGACAGGACAGCTGATTTAGAAGATTTTTCCAGTTTGGCTATTTTGACCTTAAATTTTAAATGTATTTTGAATTTACTTTGAAATCTTACTTTAGTAAATAACCCTGTAAAAAATTCACCTTGCTGCTTTCAGCTAAAAGGAAAAATATATATTGTTTTGCTAATGGGGATTACAGACACACAACAATGCCAACAATTACTTGCTGATCCTTGTAGGAGGCTCATGAAGGCTAGGGGACTATAATGGGCTGATGCGTGTATGAGGGCCATGGGAGGGATTGCTAATTCAGAGGGACCAAGTCAAGAGAAGGTGGAGTGTTAGTTTTGCCTAGTGGATGCAAGGTGGCTTGCTGATGCTTTCAGGAAGGCCATAAGATTTATTAACTAAGCCAACAGAAAGCCTAATTTATTGCATAATTTATTCTGTATAAAGAAGGTTGAACAGGATTTGCAGATACGTGCATGGAAAAAGAAAAAGGGCTTGCAGATAACCACATCTTGTTGATGTGTTCAGAGATTTCTGTTATTTTGTGGTTCTTTCAGAAGACTTTCTTATACCCCAAAATAAATGTGTGAGGCCTTTATAAAGACCACATGAGGGCTTGCTAATAGGTGCATGGAGGCCTTATAGGGCTTGCCAATATATGAGCTTTAGAAACCTAAAAGCACTTACTAATGCTGAAGGTAGTCAGGTCGGATGTGTGTTGTGGTAGAATTGGTTGGACAAAGCGATTACAGAGCATGCCTGCAAGATGCAGTTGATTATGTTAATGAATGGAGTACTGTCTGTATCTCAGATTAAACACTCACCCCATTAACTCTGCGTCTGATTACGTTAACAGAGCTCCAGGCACTTGGTGTAGTTTTAGATTATAAAACCAGCTTAATTAGCTGCCATTAACTCATGCTGCACAAATAGCAGATATTTTATAGGCAAGTTCACAGCAACCTATCATTTTGCTTTCAATTTATTTCATTTTACAGATCACAGCAATGTTTATAACCAATTATACCTCTTGGTTTATATTAGCACAATATTATACAATTACCGCCCTCTGTGTTTACAATACAACCCCCTCAGTAAAAACTAATAGTTATGGACCACAAAACCTTGAATAATATTAACTGTATAAATATGTATTTATATAGGAACCCTCTTGTAGACTTGTTGAGCTGGATAATATTTTCAGTTAAACAGTTTGATATTTTATTTCTCTGCGATTTTGACCTTAAAGGGGAACGGTAACTTCACAGGATTTTGAATATTCTGTTTATGTAACCCTTATATTTAACAATAATGTTTGAAAAGAAAAATGGAAGGTAGATATCTGCACTGCTGTGTTTTATTCTATCCTTGAACTGAGTGCCTCCATTTTGGCTCCCTGTCAAAACATAGTTACAAGCTCTGCCATTTTCTTTCATTCAACATATTATGTGGAAATTGAGAAGAAGAAGTAATGCATGTGTATCACTTATTTCAATGCAATGTTTGCCCTGCTTGTGACAAGACTAAAAGCAGAACTGCTACTTGTGATATTTTTGCATAACCATAACGTTTGCCACGTTTAATTGTTTTTAATTTACGTGCACTGCTGGGCATGATGGGCACAACATATTAATTAGTTAAACCGCTGCAGTGCTATAGTATGGCACATGTGTGTGTATAACACCAACAAAGGAATTCCAGAGTGTCCATGCACTGGTGAAGAATTTTAATGAGCACACTAAGGTATTTTGAGTTGGTGAAGTCATGCACAACGTGGAAGTGCTACAGAGATATGTGCATTTTTTACTTTTTTCTGTAGCTTTGTGTAACACAATTCATTCTACAATAGCATTTACTAGAGTAATGGAACAAGGATTGTCACTTCCAGAGAAGTGGCAGTTCCCCTGGAACAAAATTGTAATGTCAAATGATGAATCTTTAATATCCATTTCGAAGACAATGGAGCACTGCATGAGAAATATTAAGACAAGTTCATGTTGTAGGTGGTTTTCATTGTTTTAATAAATGATTAATAAATTAGAAAGGCGATGGTTTTCCCTTTAATTTCAATACAAACTGTTTTTCCAGCTGTGAAATAATTATTTTGCTTTTATCATTAACTTTCTCACAATGAATAGTAGTTGAAGTTTGTTCAAGAATATTAGCCCTCTACGAGATAGCGGGTAACACATTCATTTAGTAGATGGCAGTGACTGAATAGTGAGGATAGGAGTGTTATGTAAAGGGTAACTATCGTGAAAAACAAATGTTGCTATGTTATAGCTTTGTATTTCTTTTTTTGTAAACTTTTAAGGTGAAATATGAAAGCCCATTTTGGAACATTCTCAAAATGGGGGCAATTAGGTAAATGATTATTAGTATTATTATTATTTATTATTTATAAAATATTTTACCAGGAAAGATACATTGAGATTTCTCTCGTTTTCAAGTATGTCCTGGGTCCACAAAACATTGCATTGTTACAATTAGGGTACAATAAAATACAAAAACAATATTAATACACAATATATACAAAATTTAACATAGAACAGGTAGGAAATATATAATCAACCATACCACGTGCATTCTGTTTTAGTACATATGTTTGTGTGTTTAATTATAAATATGTAGGTGGTGGTGCATTCTTTGTGTAACATCTTTCTCCTAAAGTATTTAAATAACTACTAGATAGATAGATAGCAGCTGAAAAAATTTAACATTCTAAAAAAACAAAACAAAACAAACAAATAAATCAAACTTTTTATGACCATGCTAGGTTTAGCAAGTTTGTTTTGGACATGATTTTTTTTTAATAACTTTAAAATAATTACCTTGTATTCTGCTAAGGATAGTTAGACTGCTAATATAATTTTTATTTTTTTTAATCAATAGTTTTCTGTTCTATACACTTTCTATGTATATGTAAAAATCAAAGTAAAAAATTTATCTAATAGTTTTCTGTAACTTCTCTTTTTTCAGGTCCCACGGCATATCAAGACTCTACCATACTACACTTATGACCAACCCATGGCTGGGTATTGCCAGACACACAAGTCACTCCTTGTAAATAAGGGCTACGATGGCACGTCTCGAGATCAGAGAGAGACAAGCAACTTAGAGCTCAGTAGGGACCAGAGCTACATTTCAACTATAGCACGTTCAGCGGCGCCTGCCATATACATTGAAAGAATACCAAACCAATAATGTCTGGAGTCATATTCTGGGGTTGTGCACCTACTGTAAGTGGAAGAGCAGTCCAACACACTGTTAACAAATGGGAAGTCCCTGTACAAGATAAATACTTTGAAAAATAACCCAAAATTAAAAAAAAAAAAAAAACTTTGAGCAACAGGACTTCAGAACATAAACTGGAGACTTGGGGACAACACAGATTTTCTTGGCTTTAAACAAATATCTGAACCCTACTGATGTAAAAAAAAAAAAAGAATAATAATGAAAATAATAAAAAAACATGGATCTACATACGGAATTTCTAAGCCAGATCTGGATCCATTCTGGCTGTTTATGGGAGAGGAATAAATCTGCTTGTATATTTAATTTTGTTTTCTACACATTGCATGGTTCCAATACAATGAACCAAAGGGAGAGACTATGGGTTTGGGGTAGGGAATGCTTCTTGTTTCATGTTGAATTACCCAGTGGGTCTCTTTAAACTGTGTTTATTTACCGTTTCCCTGTTTGATTTCAATCATGCTGGCAACTGCAGAACACAGAGCGATCGGAAGAGAGCCTCCTTGAAAGGGGTAAATACCATGCAGTGTTGAAAGTTAAGCCACTGAAAATTGGGAAAGTGGGGTGATGATCATTTTTAACCCCTACTTAAATACATATAGACCACCATTTCCCAAATCAATTTATTTGGATTTAAAAATCACAAAAGATGGTAAAATATTGTTTTGTTTTTTTTGTTTTGTTACTTTTTTTTTTAAATATTATTATGATCAGTTACAGCTTTTGTGTAGTTTTTAATCAATAAAAAAAAAAATCTGAAAAACTATTGTGTGGATTAAGTGTTACCGTACCTCTGTTGTACTGGTCAACCCATCAATGACATATTTATAACTGTAGCCTTAATGTAAAAATGAGAAAAAAATAAATCTATGTATTAGCTACGGTATTGCTATGGAAGCTTGCGGGGATAAAACACCAAATGTGGGGCTGTAATAAAATTTGTTTAACATTTTCCAGGGAATATTCACTGCTTCTGCTGGTCAGAAAAAAAGACAAAGACTAGACTAGAAATGTACATAATATATGCTGTCTCTGATCTCTTTGTACCCCTCATGTCCCATCGTTTCATGTGTTCATTTAGGGAAGATCTAAGTGTAATAAAGCCAAAACAAATGTATTTCACTAAATCTGTCACTATTTTGAAAGTATATATGCAATGATGAAGACTATCTGCAATACAACATCGATAGAAAGAAGATATCACAGTATCCATTATCGAGCTACAAACAATTTGCAATTCTAATAATGTGGTATTATCACGTGGAGTCCGGTTGATATCCCACAATTGTCAAATGAAGTTTAAAGGCAAGTAGAATAAATCGGTTTTAAACAGGTTGTGCATGTAGATTCAAAGTAAACAAACATGTAAAAGCTATGGGATCTGCTGCTGTAAGAATCTCTGTATTTTTTAAAGGTAATGAATGCTTGGGAATGAGACATGGGAGACAAAAAGACCCATCTGAAATCAGAGATGTATTCCTATTGGTTTCTTGTGTTCTGCCCAATCAAAATCCATCTGGAAATCACATTATGGTCACTGACCATAAAATATACTGATGAGGAAAAACTAAAGGCAGCCCCTGAGAGCCGTAATAGACACTTAATGGAGCAATAAATGATGAAGGCAGCTTGTATTTACGGTTTTAATGTAATGTATACTTTCTGTAAATATACAAAAAGACCCAAGATAAATACAAAATTGTAGCAGACATTATCTGTAAATTTGCATATATACTTGAATATCCCTAAATGTGGCATTTGATATAAAATAAATGAATCAAGATACTGTACTTTGTATCAGCCACACCAATAGTCTATGCAGATACTGATTTACATCAGCTGTGTAATATTAAACCTCAATCTTTCCAAAGTTTTAGTTTTTTTTATAATTAACATGTAATTAACTTATTAAACTTGCAGAACACTGAGCTGTATTTTATCTGAAATCTATGCACGTCTATGTCAATCATGGACTTAAGATCAAGGACACCGCTCTGTATGTTTATGATACCTGGTAAAGTAAATAATGACATTAAAAATGAATAATGCTTAAAACACAAGCTTATAGTTAAAACAGAAGATATGCTTAAAACAGAAGATAATTTCGAATGGTTATTCTAAACTCCTCTCGTGTTCCAAGTAGTTCTACATTGACATAATAATGAATAGCTTTCTCCCTGTCTCAGGCGTTTCCCCATCTTATCTCTCGCTGTCTCAGTCTTTCCCCTGTCTAATCTGTTCTTGCCTTTTTCCTACCTTATCTGTCATAGAAACATAGAAACATAAAATGTGACGGCAGATAAGAACCATTCGGCCCATCTAGTCGGCCCAATTTTCTAAATACTTTCATTAGTCCCTAGCCTTATCTTATAGTTAGGATAGCCTTATGCCTATCCCACGCATGCTTAAACTCCTTTACTGTGTTAACCTCTACCACTTCAGCTGGAAGGCTATTCCATGCATCCACTACCCTCTCAGTAAAGTAATACTTCCTGATATTATTTTTAAACCTTTGCCCCTCTAATTTAAGACTATGTCCTCTTGTTGTGGTAGTTTTTGTTCTTTTAAATATAGCCTCATCCTTTACTGTGTTGATTCCCTTTATGTATTTAAATGTTTCTATCATATCCCCCCTGTCTCGTCTTTCCTCCAAGCTATACATGTTAAGATCCTTTAACCTTTCTTTGTAAGTTTTATCCTGCAATCCATGAACCAGTTTAGTAGCCCTTCCCTAAACTCTCTCTAAAGTATCAATATCCTTCTGAAGATACGGTCTCCAGTACTGCGTACAATACTCCAAGTGAGGTCTCACCAGTGTTCTGTACAATGGCATCTCGCAAACATTTATTAAAAAAGGCATTGAGCATACTCAGGAAGATCTATCTACCAAACTCTATCCCTTCTTTCTTCCTTACCTGCTGTTCAAAAAGCTAGTTTCAACAGTGCAAATAAGGAGGAATGTAAATGATGCAAAATATGATTTGACTAATTAAGGTGGTCACAGGCACCAGGGCACTCCTGGCACCATAACCACTCCATCACACGTTAGTGGTTATGGTTCTAGAAATGTCCCTTTAACTTGGACAAACTCTAACTGGAGTCAATGGGAACTCTACAAAACTGAACTGAACTTGGAAATATCGGTTTTGAGGAGTACATTTAGACAAGCATAATCTAGTTGAGCCCTAGTTGTTTGGAAAGCTCATGTTGCTTCTACATATACCGTCTTAATAGCAATATGGCTGCTCCCTACATTTTATTTTGCAGGGTTTTTTATACATATTTGATGTTTTGTTACAGCACTCATCAGAATGGTACTAAATAGACTTAAGACAATGGTAGGTTCCTATTTCCATTCTTTGGATATTACTGGGTGTGGAATGACCATGGGCATAGATTTTTATACCGCATTGGAGAATTGAATTGCAGGTCTTCCCACCATCCCCATCAGAGTCCACTCTGATCTCTTTTCTAGAATTTATGCACTTGTGTCATGTACAATGTCTTTTTTATTGTTTGTTTTTATTGGCAATGTATGCAAATGTATGTGCTCACTTTTGTGTCAATGCAAAGACTTAAACAGAAAGAGGAATCCACACACTTTTGTCTGGCAATTCTTGGTGCAACCAGACCTGGGGCTGGCTAGCCCCTAATCCATGTTGTAGACAACAGTATAGTCCAGGTGCTCAAGGTCACTTGTGCAGCAGTTTTATGCTTGACAAAAATCTTAGTGGAGATCAAAACGATGCTTAATTTGCCAGTATTTCCAATAAAAGTGACCTTGAGTACCTGGACTATACTGTTGTTTAGTCCAAGGCAAAGGTTTAAGGCAACTCTGTCTCCCCCTATAACAAAAAATGAACATTTCATAAAGATAAAACCATAATGAAATGCTCATAAAGACTGTGTAGAAATTTCATTGAAAATCCAACGCAGTCAGAAAACATCATAAGACAAAGTAGGTACTACTTTGTCTTATGTATTATTTTACACTTGATAAATCTTCACAAAAGGAGCCGGTACCGCCGTCAGGTTTTGTCATCTCATTGCAATATAAAATCTATGGAGGTTCCAGTAGTCTTGTTGGATCCTACATAGACATTGGTGTTGTATCTGGCAAGCACTGACGAAGAGGGGAGCGCCTGCAGAGTTGGGGCCAGTTAAGTATATCTCCTGTATTGCACCCTCTGGCAAACGCACACCAAGAGGCAATGTCACCATTGGGGGTCTTTGTAAAATGTGTAAAGACCCCAAAAGGTGACAGATTTGCTTTAAAAAAAAAGTATGTCTTGTAAGTCTTCATATCATTAATTCAATTAGAGAAAAAAGATAAACAGCAAGATACCTAATTTATCGAATGTGTTTAATATGTGCATCAGATACAAAAGTCATACAATCACTGAACATAAACAGCAAACAACTAGCATTGCCATCTCTATGAAAAGTAGCATTTTTATATCTGGTATCCTTGGTAGCGTCAAGGTAAACAATGATTAGGTACCATCACTCTCAATCCACACATCTTGCAGGACAACTATATATATATTTTTTTACCAGTTAATACAGTATAGGATATGTGTTACTGGAGTAAGAGGGGAATATGTATAATGTAGGACTCAGATTTTAAATTAATTCAGATTCTTTTAAATTAGCTTGAGGGCTCTGACATATGGTATATTCATTTTCAAGACTTACTTGTTTCTTCTTAAATTCCTTTTTCAGCTTACTGTATCAGTCAATTGTTTGAATACCAAATGGCTAATGGATTGCTTATCAATGAATACCTTCTAATTTTATCAAATCTGGATGCAGCAACATGGATTCAAACTGTTGTGCTGACAGACATATTTCGGACAGTTGGAAGTGAAGATATAATCAATGTGATACTCATGGTTATAATAATATAAGTAAAACTAATGGGGACATATATCAATGTACATTAGAAAAAGGACCTGGAATCTGCAGTCAAGAATAAATTGGTTTATCTAGTATGTCCACTGTGAGTAGCAATATCCAATTTCAGTCCCGATGGGTCACAAGCAAACCGGGTTTTCAAGATAATATGTAGCATAGTGCGAAGTATTATGCAAAGTTAAGTAGCAAAAACCGACTAAGAAGGAGTCAAAACACATACATTTGAAAACCAAAAAAGGATAACTGGCTATGGAAACATTGGTAAATCTTTATAAAATTCACAATAAAAAAAAGAAAAGAAAAAATACACCTACAAACTGTGAAAATAAATAAACGAAGACTAATCTGCTCAAAGGGTAAGGGAAGGGAGAGGGTATGAACAATGCTGTGTGCAACAAAAAATTATGAATCCTGTATCTTGAAATTAAATAAAGTGAATAAAAAGCTATCAAGCTATCTTCTTTCGTATGTTTTGTCTTCACACGTAATGTTCTCCTACTCTTCTTTAGTGGGTTATCTCTACAATGTCATGTAGGCACATGCTCATTCTATTTTGTGCTCTGGTAGCCTAATAGCATTTATATATTGCTAGGGCTTTTTACCTTTTGGCATTTGTAGGCTCTTTTTCAAATGAGCTGAGGTTAACATTTTGGGGGGGTTTTCGTAGCCTTTGTATACTTTCTCTACCCTGGTCAATATTCACCCACTCCCACTATATGCAGCATTGTATCTTCTCTTAGCAGGTGTATATACCAACTTGTTTTTGTGGTCTCCAACTATTAACTTGTGGATGTCTTTAGCATGGGGATACTTATTCTATCTTTATCTTATCTAAGTTATTGCTCCTATTTTTAATCTGTTTCTCTCATTCATTCTAGATTGTATGGTTCATTACCTGCGATTGAGATAGCTTTCTATTCTATTTATTTCATTTTAATATACAGAATAGCTCCTAATTTTTAGTGGCACACTACATTGTTCATACCCTCCCCCTCTCCTTTGAGCAGATTAATATCAGTTTATTTATTTTACAGTTTGTAAGTATATATATATATATATATATATTTATTTTTTTTTATTTTTTTTATGTGTGTAATAGATTTACCTTTTAGCCTATTCCAAAGCCAGCTATCCTTTTCTGGTTTTCCAATTTATGATATCTGGCTCCTTCTTTGTAATTGTTTTCTACTCAAATTATCAGGGTTTCTCCCTTCCACTTTGTCAATAGATTAAGCCGATAACCTGATTTATATATAAACAACTTGGCTTAATCTCCTTGTTTCTGTGTGTCAAGCTGTTAGATATTTTATTACTTTTTGTTAGTATGCAAAGTTAATTGGTCAATGGCTGCTAATTAGACAAATAGTAAACATACGGCAACAATAAGCCCTTAATATTGGAAATGGACAGCTATGCCTCATAATATTTTAATCCCTTGCAGATCAGGAAATTGAGTTAATGAAATAAGAAAATATGTGAACGCCTCCATTGTGCAAAAAGCACTTTCCATATTTGTGCTGCCAAATTCAATTTGTTTAAGTAACAAAAAGTATTTAGAATTCGAATCAGGTAGTAGCATTATGTCCCCATGCATCAGCATTTTTCTGACCCGCTGTATAACATCAGACCAATCAAATGGTCACCCTTTAACCCACTGAGTGTTAGCAATGAAAGGATTAATAGTTATGGCTGCCCTTCATCTGATGGTTTCAAGACATAGTAAGCACTACCCCATATCTGCATACTATACATGCCCTGAATTCATAGCAGTAATGAACTGCAGCTAGTGCTGACAGCTCTGCATCGCTTTACTTTGGCTCCAAGCAGGGTCTTTTATATGGTCAGTAGTCCGATACTCAAGCTTTCTGAACCTCGTGGCTAATCCCTGTTTGCAAGTACAGTGTAGTTCACCAAAAAACTGTAATTACAGTTGACCCCATAATCTAAAACTACAATTTTTGGCTATAGTAGTAATCATAATAGTAATGGAAAATATTGTCTGTTCCCCAACATCTGAATTGGGTTTAGTAGACCTTAGACGTGGAACGGAGTCTTGAAGACACTGTAATGTAATTTTTACTAACCACAAATATAGCGGATTCTCAACAGGTACACGAACGTTCTGAGGAGTTCAGCAAGTAAAATGCTTGGATTATCTTTTAGTGTTCACGACTGAGTTTACATCCTGTGCTAACTTTAAATCTTTGGGAATGCAGAGTGAGACCAAATATAAATTTTTGTCTATCCCTGCCCACCACAAATCCATCTATATCTTTGGTTTTAGAAGTGCATACTAAACCAACGCATTCCTCCTCCCTCTGGTGCTAAAATTATAGTTGTGTTGGTTGCTTGCTTGTTTATTGTTTTGTATTAGCATCATAAAAATATATTTCTTTTCCATTTTGCTTTGTTTTGTATATTGCTCAGTTACCTGAGGGGTTAAGAAATCCTAAATTATGAAAAAATGTCAGGTCTGCAGTATCCCGAAGAACATCTTCCTTTCATATTTGACTGGACTGGTGGAATTTATGGCACGCATGTATCTGACCTTCACAGCACAGGGCCCAGAAGAGCAATGTAGAGCAGGCTGCTATAACTCTGCCTGTCCCCTGCTCAGCCAGCAGTGGGAGACTATTATTATTATTATAACTTGTATCTGCATAGAGTCTCTCCAGTACCAAAGGAGCATTAACAACAACACATCAAACACAAGCACCCAGTGCTATCTGCGGCATTAAGGTATTCAGGGAATCTCTCAGCTAATTTACTCAGGGAGTATATTGCAATAGATTATCTGCTTATCCATATGCATTTATATTATTTTGGCTCAAAGTTTTAACCCTTAAGTGCAAAATAAAGAATGTCTTCCGGGGACTACTCAATTAGGTTAGAGTTGAAACAATACTGGACATATCTCACTAAGTTTATAACATATTAGCACAGACAAACACTGGAGATAACTTAATATTTAAACACTACAACTGCCACTAGCATAGATAGCTTAGTTGGTTAATACACCAGCTGTAGCAGGTCTGATTTGTCAGGGGGAGAGAGATAAGGCTTTCATCGTGAAGCTGTTAATAAAAATGGCTTAGGTAATTGTTATGTCTATATATGTTAGCTTCCAGTTCAGTAAAATAAAAGCACATTTCTAAAATCTCTAACTATCATTGAGGGGAGGGGGTATGCTCTAAGAATAGGTTATGAAATAAGCTTTTATTTGTAAAATATACTAATCTGGTGAATAAATCTGAGATGACTTGGCATGGCACTGTTTATGTTTGTGGACTACATTTCCCATGATAACTAGCCAATGTATCAGCTAGTCATGTGAAATGTGGGCTGTGTGATCACCAACAACCCACTCATTTCAATCATACAATTGATTATTTATTTTATTGAGAAGGAGTAAATGGCTTTTATAGTATTTCTGTCAAGAGGACATGGGATGTAAATCTGGCTCTGGTTTCTATACGTGATCTGTGTCTGAGAGCTGCATTTTAATTCTTACTTAAGGTTCTTTCACTCTGCTTCTCTTTCTGCATTGTCAGCCCCGTTGCCCACACAGAAAGGCTTCACGTCCACGCTCTGCAAACAAATGGCAGATTATTACAGGCTAATTAGCAGAACTAGCATTTCCCAGGGTGACACACGGCACCACTACTTATTATAAAACATGGTCTTCGTTAAATGTTCTATTGACCAACTCTATTCTGAACTTGCCACAGACAGTTAATATTCAGTGCAGTAACAATCATTTCAAAGAAGATGTCAGCCAATCTCTCATTTTCCTGTAAGCAATTATTTAAAATGTGTGTAGACAGACAAATAATTAGATCGACAGACAGACAGATAGATAGATAGATGCAGACGTAATTTAACAAAGATAACATAGTTTTCCCTGAAATATATGCTTCACCATTATGTATCTTTTAAATCACATGATATTTTTAGGTAATGTTAACTTTAATATAATTGTTAAGGTAGTGTGGGAGTTAAATGTTAGTGTTAATGCAGTGTAGGATTTAATGTTTAGTGTAGTACAGGTGTTAATTGTAGTAGTGTAGTGTGTTCCATTCCTCCCTGAGATTAGTAGGTGTTATAGTCACAGGGGGAAGCTATTCTAGTCATTAAATGGCAGCAGGCGCAGCTCAGGAAAATAACTCCAACTAATCTTGGGCCAAACAGAACATGTACATGGTGATCATGAACCTGGATGCCATTTATACATTGGTACTCATTCATTACAGGTAGTAATTGCACGGATGGCATTGGGAAGACTAGATGGGCTGAATGGTTCTTATCTGCCGTCACATTCTATGTTTCTTTGTTTCTATGACATCTCCATCAATGCAGTATGCTATACTAAAACATAATCTGCCCCATTATATAACTGGTAAAGACAAAAGGTAAATAGGGGCACACCCAGAGCATGCATCTTGCAGTAATGGTGCTGCCGTAGTGACCAACATGTATACCTAATACCGGTTAAGGAATAGCGTGCACATAAAAATAAATTTCTACATTTTACAAGGCTACTTAAAATCACCTATCTAAGCAAACAAATATGTGGATTCCATTCCACCAAATGGCCATATTGTGTTAAGCTAACCACTACGTCACAGTACCCCAATATTGGTGGGTCCTACACTAATTCCAACATGGGAGACAAATAATATAGTGCTAGTGCTAAATAAGCTGAAGTATATTTAAATAACCTGTTTGTAAGAGCTTTACTAAACCGGGGCACATCCGCAACATACATCTTGCAGGAATGGTCCTGCCGTAGTGACCAAAATATATAACAGGGGAGGAGCTTGACCTGCAAACTGAACAGTCGCATGTTCACAGGGCTCTCGCTATTTCAGCAGATTTCCCAACGCAAATCGAAATTGCGAAGTTTGACCACACACCAAATTGCTCTACCTAAGCTAGGGGATCACTAGTGTGTCCCCTGATTCCTGACCCGAGCGATTCCGAGATCGGGAGCCTGATATAGCTTACAGCAGCCTGCGGATGGCGGAGATGGGGAGAGAGTGCCTCTCTCCTCCTCCTGACCCTAGCCATGCGGATTCAATGACATTCTACCCCCCTCCTCGCCCCAGGGACCAGTGAGAGTGATCCTGGTCCACTCCAGGGAGGCAACCATGCTCCACAAGATACATGAGCAGGTATCGATCAAACACCACCCAGCCATAGAGAAGCAGAAAAAGGCGGATGCCACATGCTCTCACACGTCCTGGGACCTGGAAGCCAGACTGGACAGCTTGTTCACTGCCTTCTGGAGAAAGATGGAGCTTAGTCAACAACAGGTACTGATACAAGAAATGAGAGAACACCTACCTCACAAGCTGCCTCCATGATCCCGTGGCAAACCCATGGTGCCTAAGGTATGGAGGGCCCAAAAATGGCAGACCACATGACCCTGCTCACAAGCTGCCCATCAGAACACTGCCAGGCATCCCAGGATGAGAAAGGTAGTAAACACCACAACAATTAACCTGCCACAATCCGACCGGGCCATCCCGAAGATCCTGCCTCACAACTTAAGCTGGATTTCCAAGCCACACAGGTAAAACTTACGAACCTTCATAACCTGGCCTTATCTCCAACTCATGCACGCAGGTCTCTAGCTGGGAGGGCAACAGGGTCCAACACAGAGACTCTTTGGGCAGGGAAGTGGAGTACACTAGCGAGGCATTGGCTAACCCTGGGACTGAGCACAGGAACCACGGTACCCCAGTAGTACACCCTCAGTGCCCACACCATGTGCCCAGATTAACCTTTGTTTAATTTACTGCATTAGCATGATCCCTTTCTTTTGTTACCACAGTGGGATTCTGTAAAAAACTAGATGAATGGATGTTAATGTAGACTCTTTCTTAATTTCTTCTTGTCTTCAGTTGATTGATATATATACGTCTTTTGTATATATATTCTTGGGCCAAATGCTCGCCACAATAATATATGTCTATATTATTGAAAAGTAGTAATACGCAATCTGACTTACGGTTTCTTCAGGTTTATTCTTAGTTACAGATACATAAAACATAATAAATAATGTTACAGGATAATGGACATTCAACAGCAGATGGTAATTGCTGGACTTCTGATGGGAGAGTTACATCGTTGTACAGAGCCAAGACTCAAGCCAAGACTAGACTGAGAGACCTCGTGTCCCTCTGTTACTATATAGAAGTGCTAATACTAACGTCAGCATATAACTCTAGCCATATAAGGACAAAACCCCCACATCCACATTCCAGAGCTCTCGGACAAAGAAAGCCTTGTGACTTATTGATACCATCTGTTACTTATGTCAATCCACACATCCATATATATAATCAATAGAAACATAGAATATGCAATATTCTACATTCCCTCTGTTTATGGTTTGTTTTAAAACCATAACACAATGTAATTAACCTGTCCATTCATACATCACTTGTATCACATTCATTGAGCATAGAACAAGATGTAGTCACAACTTTCTATTATATGAGAGTTCTTAGAAGGTCGAGTTTCTATCCCTCATACTGCTTACTTTACTTCAAATTCCCTCTGTTTCAGCTATGTATTGATATCCATATCCATGTTACATCATAACTACTTGAACATAATATATACATATATCACAATAATAAATGAATAAAATAAAATATTTACAAATGTTGATCCAATAAACAATAAAGCAATCAGAAAGATCTACCTGCTCAGGTACAATCATGTCTTTGTAGACAACAAAATCAAGATCGTAACTTTCTAAATAATAATAACTGTGTTTCACTATCATATTCCTACAGACACATATAGCATAGTATTTTCATTCTTAATACCTGATATTACTTGAGTACTAATACATGTATTACTATAATATATGTCCAATTATATTTCCATGAATCATATGGTTTCTAGCAACCTTAAAATCTTTAGGTCATTTGTATTCATGAATTACATTCCTATACCATTAATACCACCTAGTGATGATTGTATCAGTACTTTACAATCATAGTATTTAATTTGTATATTCAGTAGGCTCTCACTACCTGAAATATATCAACACTACTTATAAGTCTCATTCAAAGGATGTGTTATCAACCATGAAGTTCTATAATAATTCTTCAAATAATGTTCATGGTGTTGACAATACTTATTGTCCTAGAAATTCTCCACCCAGAAATCTTTCTATCATAGATTTGTTTTTGTTTACATAATTATAATTTTGACTAAAATTCCACCTTGTAGTAACAAACTTTACATTCAATCGGAGAATGGTTTACTTTAAAAGAACTTGGAAAGAATAATTTAAATTCATTATCATCACTCTCTTCATTAGCATTGTGATGACTTATTAATGTAATACATCTTAAAAGCAGGATTGCCCTAATGTTCTGATCAATCCGTATTCCTTAGTACACTTCAACTGACTAAAATAAAATAAAATAAAACAAAAATAAACTTGGGATCATACTGCCCAGAAACTCTTATTCCTAGTCTGTGTCTAACAAACTCAGGGAAATCATAAAATCACTTATAACAACTTATTCATTGGATATCACCATATCCAGAAACCTATTCTCCCTAGTCCATACCTTTATAGACTTAGGTCAAATATAATTGTGTACTATACTCTTTCCATTCAATTCAATTCCTCTTGGATCTCTGAACTCTTATATCTAAGGCCTTCTTAATGTATATAATTACTTAATATTAATCAATATAAATTATCCTTCCTCAGTTTTCTTCCTTTTATTACCATTGTTTGTTTTACTTCAACTATATAAACAAATTACTCATTATAGTTAATCTATGAAATACTATTGAACTCAATCTTTGTGGTATTAAGTAACCATGATCCTTATTTTATCGACTTCATATTTTATCTTCCTCTGATACTTCTCATTCTATGTATAGGTAATAATGTAATAGTTCTCTTCATAATACCATCCATTAATAATTTTACTCCATGTGTTATATAGTTATAAGTAGTCTCTCTTGGTATTAATACTCATAACTGTTAAATAACTTTTCATTGTCTGTTTTCTTCATTAATATTTAGGAATATATATGTATGTTAGTGCCAATCTTTTATTTCTTTGTAAGTCTGTTAATCTTCTGTATCGAATGAACTCTGTAGAATCTTCCATCACAGTTTGCAGATCAGATGAAAAGTCTCTTTCCAACAGTCGATGTCCAGTTGTCTGAAGGAATACTTTCCTGATTTATTGCCACAAGGATCTGTCACGCTTTACCTACATTAAAACAAATAACATGTGCAGCATCAATACAATGGCTTACAATGTTTATATCTCATTATTATTACACAGTTTAACATTGAATTATATTGACTACACAAAACATACTCATATCCTCTCATGAGATCTACCATCTAGTGGTCATTACATCTATGCGATGTGATGTATAATCTTTAAATTTCCTTTATATTAAAATCTTTCTGAACATGTAAATTCTCAATTCTCAAACTTTTTATTACTCATACCCCCCTTTTAAACTGTTTAATAATCTGGAGGTATAACCTAATCACATGTCAGATGTTACAACTAAATATTGTTTTCCACTATACTTTAGCAATAGCAGCCATCTTGTCTTAACACTGTCACCATTTTGTCACATGAAACAAACTACAAAAAACATATATTGTTTCCTACATCAAATGTATTTGTAAATCTAGGTTTAATCCTATCAAAACTTTTGTCTTCTATGTAGTCAAAACATATGTATGTCCAGGCTTTGCAAAATACAGTAATCCATTATCAGTCATGATATTAAAATCTCATTCTCATGAATTAAATCAAAGATTTTAAATCAACCTCAGAAGCAACAAAGAATAAATCTATAGTTTTTTTCCTTCTGTAAAATGATTGGAGTTACTGTATAATTGCATACACCCAATATATCATAGATTGCATGTTCCTAACTGCTACATTAGTGTATTTAATTCTGCCATATTTGCAAACTTGATGTACATTTTTATTTTAATTAATTAACCTAATACTTTCTTATAACACACATAAAACAATGAAAAAACTGTTCAGACTAATAATTCATTAAAACAAACTAACATAGAACTCTATTCTTGGCTGTTCTTAATTCTGGAATCAGCCTGTGTACATCTGTTGGCACTCATATCCATGCTCATTCCCTAAACTGATCATATCTATTGAAGTTACCTGATTCTTATAACTTTCTGTGTTACACTGCATTGCTGGTCTGTCTCCTAATTTCGATTTAGCTAAAATTGCTTTTATTTGTCTGATTATAAGTTTACAAGGAAAGGCTTTAATTGATTTATCTCCACATGTATTTTCTCTGTCAAAATTTTTAATCAACATATTTAATTTCTCATTTGCTTTTGATTTGATATCTCGGATAAAATATCTGCAAGATCTTAAATAATGTTGTTTATTGCACCAAAAACAAATAACTTTAGGAGTTATATTCTGCCTTTTATTATCAACTCTACAGTTTTTAGTTGAATAAATTGGGAGGGGCTCAGCTGTCTGTATCACTCTACACTCTGTCCTAGAAGAAGAAGAAGGAGGGGGACGAGGGCTGTAAAATCTGCACTTCTTTCTCTGCCTAAATCCACAAGTCGTTTTAACCCCTTCATTATTGGTTTCCCTCCTTAAGTTATCCAAGAACAAAGCTACTTCTGTCAAAGTGCTTTTTTCTCTAGCTAACACAATTGCAGTTGGATCTAGATCTTGAAATTTTTTCACAAATTCATTAATTAACTGATTCTCAGGAAAATTAGCAACAAGTCTATATGCACTTTCAAATTTTACAAGAAAACTAAATATATCCTCTCCTTTGTGTGGTTTTAGTTTTTCCAACATTTCAGTGTCTGCAAAATCATTCCCTGTTGTTAATTTTATTAATTGTGTTAATCTGTCTTGCTTATTTCCATATATTATTTCATCATTGTCCTCGAATTTTACAGGCGTGGTCAGCCTACATGCCATTTGAGTCGGCAGCCATATTTGAAATAGTCTATTCCTTTGTTCGTCATTTAGGCTGTATTTGTCCACATTAGACTCAAACATTTCAGCATTAGTAAATGTATCCACTGACGTGTCATAAACTGGAATACATTTCACAATTTTCATTAATTGTTCATGGATTTTCAAATTAAGTTTTGCAGCTCTGTCTTGGAATTTATATTTCTGCAAATCACTCTGTGAGGATACATTTTCAGTATCTGTTAGTTCTGGGATTAGATTCTGTGCCTGTATTTTTCTGGTATTAACACACACTAGTTTAGCTTCATTTGTAAACTGGCAAATAAAATCATTTCTTTGTTCAACTCTATCCTCTAATTCACAGACTTTTTCTGACAATGTGCTCTCTGTTACTTTGTTACACTGTTCATTTAAATCTGATTTGTCTTCTGTTAACCCATTCAAATCTATTTCTTTTTCTGCTGATTCTAAATTTTCTTGCCCTGCATCTCGTTTACAAATCAATGCATTGTAAGTACAGACTAGTTTCATAACATTTCTGATCTTTTGTTTTTTCTTATTAACAAACAATTTCTTGGCAATTTTACTATTGGCAATTTCACATTGTGTGTATAAAGATTGCCACAACACAGCATCTGAATAGCTGCTATTACATGCAAACTGCAATTTACTTTTCTCTGCAATATCATTTATGAATTCCATGTTACTCACCAGATCAGTTATCTCTGTCTATTTCGTTGCTTCATCCACACAGCTGCGCAGTTCTTTGCTTGGACGCTTGCCAATGTCTGCCACGTGCTTGCTTCTAGAATTCACGTTGCATCTTGTGCTTTTTGTCTCAGTTGTAGAAAATAGTCTTGTACAGTCTTGGATTTGAAAACTTTCTTTTTCTTACAAACCACAGTCTAGATTCTTTTTTTTCTCTTCAAGTTTGTTTTCCCAGTTCCAAAATAGCTTTGTAACTCGATTCTTCTCTCTCCCCCCTTGAAGTGGGAACAAAACTTTGAATAGAAGACTGGCTGGCTAGCCAATGTAAAAAATGTAGATGAATGGATGTTAATGTAGACTCTTTCTTAATTTCTTCTTGTCTTCAGTTGATTGATATATATACGTCTTTTGTATATATATTCTTGGGCCAAATGCTCGCCACAATAATATATGTCTATATTATTGAAAAGTAGTAATACGCAATCTGACTTACGGTTTCTTCAGGTTTATTCTTAGTTACAGATACATAAAACATAATAAATAATGTTACAGGATAATGGACATTCAACAGCAGATGGTAATTGCTGGACTTCTGATGGGAGAGTTACATCGTTGTACAGAGCCAAGACTCAAGCCAAGACTAGACTGAGAGACCTCGTGTCCCTCTGTTACTATATAGAAGTGCTAATACTAACGTCAGCATATAACTCTAGCCATATAAGGACAAAACCCCCACATCCACATTCCAGAGCTCTCGGACAAAGAAAGCCTTGTGACTTATTGATACCATCTGTTACTTATGTCAATCCACACATCCATATATATAATCAATAGAAACATAGAATATGCAATATTCTACAGATTCAAAACCTGATTTACCTGGGGGGCCTCCTGGGAGAAATACCACTCAATCACAGTACCTATAGTTATCACCCCTATGTCGCAATAGTCAACACCTCATTAGCACTGTCCTCGTGCTTAAACTTATTCTTCGGGTTATAATATAAAAATTGTGTTTTCCTTGATATGCCTTAATAATTTGCTGTCTGTTATTATATCGTGTAAATGCTGTTGGGGCACTGCAATGCAAATGTAACTGTTTTTTCTTTATGCACGCAAAAATAAAGAATATTAAAAAAATTTTTTTATACATAATATAGATTGAGGAACAGCGCACACATGAAAAAATATCCAAACTAGATTTCTTTTGGCTTAAGCGCTCACTCAGCCCCCCCAGCTTCAGAGGTGCCACAGCAGGTGACTACAGGTATTTATTTGAGGAGGTTTTAGATACTAATGTCACTTTAATTATAATTTTCATTGAGCAGATATAGTATTTGCATTGTGAGTATATACATCAAAGCACTATCACTTTATTTTTTTTTTATTTTTTTGAATAGTGTTTATCACATTCATTTTGCATTATATATATATTCACAATGCTATTATAACAGATTATTTAAATACACTTCAGCTTATTTAGCACTAGCACTATTTTGTTTTCCTCCCAGGTTGGAATTAGTGTAAGACCCACAGATATTGGGGTACTGTATAGTAATGGTGTGCTTAACACAATGTGGATTTTGCTCATTTATTTTTATGTGTGCGCTGTTGTTTAATCTGTACCATGAAATAACTGGGATATGTGTCATATATGTAGATACAAAACAGGAGATAGAGCAGCTAAATACAATAGGGTGAGAGGTAGTACACTTGTCAAAAGGGGGATCCCTCCAACCCCCAAGAAAATTAAAACAAATAAAACAAAGAATGCAGGTAGTGCCAAGGATAAGATACTTTAAGCATAAGGGTCTAAAAGTAGGAACAATAAAATATAAAAAAATATATAAAAAAAAAAGCCCAAAAGAATAAAAAATACCAAATGGTAAGGCACAGTCTCAAATGTAGCAGTAGATCTTCTAATTGAAGTATGGAGCTTTATGGGTACCAGCATATGAAATGAAAGCAAAGACAGAAGTGGACCAATAGTTCAATATGATAAAGTGCAATAGGACAAACAACACTAAAAATAGATGTCAACTCACATATGGTAGAGCTATAACTAGCTCTAAGTTCAACAGCGTGTAGTGGTTTGCAATCCAAACTTATAGGTTATCCCTCTGATTTTGGTACACAATAGTAAATCACAACTGGATAACGTTGAGGTAGATCATATAGATTGACAAAAGAAGCAGCCAATAGTGCTCTCTATATAAGTAAGTAATAGTAAGTGAGTCTTACTATTATGTGTCCACATATACGTAACAAAACTACAGCCAGGCACACTAAAAAAATAAAAAGGCTGGGGAGGTGGAAAAAGAGACACACAAAGGAGTGGAGGAAAAACAGATGCACAAATGGGCTGGGAGAAGAAAGAGACACACAGAGGGGTAGGGGGTGGGACAAGGAAGCACACAGAAGGGCTGGGGAGGAGACACAGAGGAAAAAGGGGAAAAGAGACACACAAAGGGTTTTGGGGAGAAACAGACGACTGCTGGGGGAAGAAAGAGGTCTGCCAACCGGCCAAAGCAGCATGCCAGCCAGCTGCAGAAGTTTGTCAGCAACAGTAATTAAGGTGAGAAGAATTTGGGCTGGGTATCAAAAAACTATTTTGTTATAATACTATATTGTGAATGGGGGCCAGAGTGTTAGCGAGACCCTTCCCCAGGGTCCATTAGACTTCATTGCAGCCTTGATGGGACTCTTTCTTACATTCAGTTTACAAAATGTGTGCAATAAATATTCATGAAAATAATTGGTGTTTCCTCTATTTTTAAGTTGGGGAAGTGCTAACTACAGGATCTGTCCCAGTTGCCAAATGCTCTAGGTATGCCCCTGAGCAGGGGGTAGCTAAGCAAACAAATATGTAATGTTATCTCTGTGTGTGTATTTGTGTGTTATCTGTGTGTATATGCTATGTGTTTCTGTATGTGTATCTGTGTGTCAATGTGTCTCTCTGTTTATGTGTGTCAATGTTTGTATCTGTATCAGTGTTGTGGGTATCTGTGTGTCTGTGCATCTGCATGTGTGCCCTTGTGTATGTCTGTGTATGTCTGTGTATCTGCATGTGTGTCTGTGTGTGTCAAATGGCAACAGTGCACAAAAATACTCAACACAATACACACAAATACACCCCTACATTCACACGCATACTCTATACATTAGCATGCTTACATTCAAACATACCAACACTGCTCAGTGCTATCTACAACCCTGCAAGGATGAGCAAATGGTAGACCCCCAGCTGGCAAAGCATTGTGGGAGTTGTACGACAGATGGGGATCTACTTTTTACCAACCTTGCGATAGAGGGCCCAAAAAAAAAAATCTTGCACGAGGGTCCTCTCAACTTTAGTTCTGCCACTGATGTGAGACATCATGTTTACACAACTAGCCAAGAGTTCCAAGCTTGACATGCAAATTCAGTTATTGGCTTTCAGACTTCATACTGCATTTCTGCAGATACACTTAGCAATTGACACTGTATTAAATTCATCTATTTTTAATCAATGCATGGACTATGAACCAAAGGGATCACTAACCAGAAATCAGCCATTGACTCCAGTTATTACCTAGTGGGCCTCATCATGCTGGTTATTGTCTGGAAATTGAAATCTCTATGAAATAATATAGCTAGGAACCAATAGGATTGTGGTGACTTCCAGGCCAGAATTGGCAACATGCCGATAAGACCCATAAGGTTAAAACTGCATTCCATGGATGGTTTATGGTCCATGACACCTTTTGTGAACCAGCATCAGAGTCATGGGCACCCAAGGCTCATTGATGCACATGGGGAGTTGAAACTAGCCCATCTGGTCTCATCACATAAAGAGATACTGTAGCTCAGATTGCTGAAAAATTTTATGCTGGCCATTTTAGAAAGGTGTCTAATTACACAGTCTATCACAGTTTGCTTCATATTGGGCTGTGTAGCCACAGACTGATCCGATTGCACATGATGACTCTTGTCCACAACCGAAAGCAACTTCAATTAGGATGTATACATCAGTACAGGACCATGGAGCAATGGAAGAAGGTTGCCTGGTCTAATGAATTACATTTTCTTTTAGATCAGGTTAATGGCCGAGTGCATGTGCATCGTTTTTCAGGGTAAGAGATGGCAGCAGGATGCATTACGGGAGGAAGACAGACTGGAAGAGGCAGTGTTATGCTCTGGGCAATGCTCTGCTGGGAAACCTTGTGTTATGAATTCGTGGAATGTTAGTTTGACACATATCACCTATCTAGTGATTGTTGCAGACCATGCACACCCCTTCATGGCAAAGATTTCCCTAATGGCAGTGGCCTTTTTCAGCCGTTTAATGCACCCTATTACACTACAAAATTGTTCAGGAAGTATTTGAGGAACATGACAAAGGTGTTGCATTGGCCTCCAAATTCCCATGATCTCAAACCAACTGAGCATCGGTAAAATGTGCTGGAACAAAGAATCTGAAATGGAAAAATCAATCAATATATTGATTATTTCTTTGTGTATCTGCCCCTGGCCAAATCAATGAAACAATGCGTGCACGCTCCCTGAAGTAATTCACACCAGACACAGGTTCCAGGTTGTTGAATAACTTGAGGAATGTTTATTCAGAGGGGACGGCAGGTCCCTTTTAAAGCAAAATTACATCATAAGCATTGTCAGAGATAACATGGAATAATACATCAATAATTGGTTAGGTGTTAAGTGGTCGCTCTAATGCTCTGCCTACTGTAGGTGATGTCACCG